AAGTGTGGGGATTGAGAAAGACATTGTCAGCTGACTCCTGAGACCAAGAGAAGGGGCCTAGTTCTGATTCTGTCCTTATTCCAAGTTGTTTCAGTGAGAAGTTGGCCCAGATAAGCCCCGTGATCTTTTTGCTTCTTGTTCATATTAGTACTTTTTTCTTACACAGTATCAGATGGGCAATGTGTATAAATGCTGCCTTTGGCAGGGCTATTCAATTGACTTAGGAAAGAAAAACAAAGAACTCAGGAGGAAATAACCCAACCAGTGATATTTCAAAGCAACTCCTGATACTTTGAACAAATAAAGGATAGCACATAACAGAATGAAAATTTCAGATCATTGAGGGAACCAAACAGGCCAGGGCTAAGGAGAAGGGAATGTGAAATCCAGCCCCACCTATAACAGGAGAGAGGGACAAAGTGGCAAAGGATGAGGAAACCTCAGAAGACCAAGTGTCTGGGAGTGGGGGGCGGGCGCACAGAACCACTCAGAAACCCAGAGAAAACTTCCTGGAGGGAATCGGATTACAAAGGAGGTGTGACAGTTTAGACAGCTTGCCAAGTCCTCAAGGACACAAATAATAATAAAATCTAGAGAGGACAAGGAGAAGCAGCACTTTTACGCTGTGGTGACATTGGGGGAGAAAATTGGTGTGGAAGTTCCTTAAAAGACTAGGCATGGAACACCATATGACCCAGCTATCCCACTCCTTATGATACATGCACACCCATGTTTACAGTAACACAATTCACAATAGCCAAACTATGAAATCAGCCTAAATGTCCATCAATGGATAAACGGACAAAGAAAATGTGGCATATATACACAATGAAGTTTTTTTTATTAATTTATTTTTAGTTGTAGATGGGAGGAGGAGGGGGACACTTGATTTTATTTTTATGTGGTGTATTTTATCTTTATGTGGTGCTAAGAATGGAACCCAGTGCCTCACACATGCTAGGCAAGCGCTTTACCTCTGAACCACAACCCCCAGCCACACAATGGAGTTTTATTCAGCCATAAAGAAGAACAAAATTCTATCATTTGCAGGAAAATGGATGGAACTTGAGAACATTATGTTAAGTAAAATAAGCCAAACTAGGGAAGTCAAGGTTTGTATGTTTTCTCTCCTAGTGGAAGCTACAGAGGAGAAAGAAAAGAAAGGTGGTAGGAGTTGGGGGAGGGAGTGAAGATCTCATGAAAATCAAAGGAAGATCAGTAGAGGAAAGAAAAGGGACAGGGGAGGGAGGAGAAAGGTTAGAGAAATGCTGAGGAGTGATATTGGCCAAATTATGGTTTTGTATTGTGAACGTACAAATAAGTAACAAATCCCATCATTATATACAACTATGATGTACCAATTAAAAAGGGACAAAATAATAATAAAATAAAATGGGGATGGGACAGCTTTCCAAGAAGAGGTCAAAAGATTGCTCCTGCAGGCATAGTGCCACACACCTGTAATCCCAGCGGCTCTGGAGGCTGATACAGGAGGATCTCGAGTTCAAAGCCAGTCTCAGCAATGGTGAGGTACTAAGCAACTCAGTGAGACCCCGTCTCTAATAAAATACAAAATAGGGCTGGGATTGTGGCTCAGTGGTACAGCACTTGCCTAGCATGCGTGAGGCATGAGGTTCTATCCTCAGCACCACATAAAAATAAACAAATAAAGTAAAGGCATCCTGTCCATCTACAACTACAGAAAAAAAAATTAAATACAAAATAGGGCTGGGGATGTGGCTCAGTGGCCGAGTGCCCTGGGTTCAATCCCTGGTACCCCCCCCATCAGAAAAAAAGAATGCTCCTAACCAGTTGGGTGTGAGATTGCTGATGGGGGAGGGTCACAAGGGTCTGATGAGACAAGTAATATGAAAGTAGACTGTGGGCTTGACTGGGCACACCAAGAGGATAGAGGAGTCCAGAAAACCAAATGTGGGTCACTCTCTACCCACCCAACAAAGTGCCACCAACAAAGATTCTCCTGCAGGTGGAATCAACTTCAAGTGCAATCAGAGGATGCCCCAAGCCAAGAGAGTTTCATTGCCACAAATTATCTCCTTATTCAATAATTCCTTGGTCATTTTAGAATAATATGTCATTTTGTATTTGGGGACCCCTCTGCAAAGAGCCCATCAGTCCAGAGTTTCATGGAAAGACCTGGTTACCGTTTAATTGGCTTCCTCTGTATCAAGTATATTTTGTTTTATACATAAAAATTATCTTGAGAATGACTGGCAAGGAGATTAAGAGCTACTGACCTATAGAAATGGGGCAGCCGGAGAACAAAGGCCATGAGGGAAAAGACGTCATGGAATATTCCTCATTCACTGGGTGGTGGGGGACATTCACTGCACTGAGGAAATCTTAGGAATCTGATTGCAATTTCCCCATCTGCCCAACCCCTCAATCATCTTCATAAGCTTTTTTTTCCCCACCAGCATGGTCTCAGTGACCCTCAAATATGTCTGTTGCCGCTCTTTAAGTCTTTGCCCTTTTACCCATTGATCTATTGGTGTGTATATTGATTACCTTCTTTCTACCAAGCACGAGGGACAGAGAAAAGAATTTGACAGACACTGTCCCTGTCCTAATGATGTGTGCCCCTCTCTGCCAACAGAAACTCTACCTCTGTCCAATGTCCTGCTCACCCAGGACACCCTCCAGGAGGTCTTTCCCAGAGCCACTCCAGATCACATGTCTAGATCACATTTTGTTATCAGATTTATTAGATTTGGGTACTTAGGTTACAAAACCTATTTTTTGTTATTATACTTTAATAAGTAGGAATTTGTAGAGTTTTTCATCTATTTCGTATGTGCAGCTGCAAAAGACATATTATCTCTGCACTGCACTGTCATAGAAAAGGCCTGATTTTCAGACGGTATTTTGAATAGATAATTATAGATAGAAAGAAAGAAAGAAAGAAAGAAAGAAAGAAAGAAAGAAAGAAAGAAAGAAAGAAAGAAAGAACGAACCTGGGGCAATCTACCACTAAGCCACAATCCCAGATCTTTTTAGTTTTTATTTTGAGATAGGTTCTTGCTAAATTGCTTACAGTCTTGCTAAGTTGCTGAGGCTGCCCTCAAACTTGTAATCCTCCTGCCTCAGCCTCCCAAGTTGCTGGATTAAAGGCATGTGCTAACGAACTCGGCTAATAATTTCAGCTTTGGGGTTTATTCTTTTACTCTCTTTCCTGCCACTTTATGGCTCAAACTCCCATCCTTCACTCCTTGGATTCCTCATGTCCTTCATACTGTCCTATAGTATCACCCCCCAGGGAGTTCAAATGTTGCCTTCAATGACAGTTGCTCCTGTCCACCACAAGAAAGAACTCAGTCCACAGTTTTAGCCACCACTGCATACTAGGCCAGCAAAACTTCCCCAAGTCTTTCGTTTTTTCACTTCCTTCAGCCCCAGTATGGCCCCTATAACCAATCTCAGATTCCCAGTCCTCCAGCTGCCTGAGAGACTGTGGCCTGAAAATAATCCTGGTATAAATTTCTGTATCTGTCAGGATCAACCATTGCTAGAAACAGAACTGAGTTCTGACTTTAAGCAGAATATTTGTAGGCTGATTAGCGTTCAGAGTCCACAGAAGGGCTGGAGAACCCAGGCTCAGCATTAAGCAGAAGCAACAGTCAAAATCACTTCACGGATGCACCGCAGCTGCCAGCAGGGGGCGGCAGATGCCACAGTTTTGACCGCCGGTACCGTCAAGCACTGGACGTTGGCTCCACCTCAGCCACCACTGCTGGGGAGCTCACAGGAGCTGGGTCACTGTCCAGACCCATTAGGAAGGGATGTCCACTGTGCCCGCTTCGGTTCCCTGACTCCTGACTCAACGGGCAGGACAGGAGCAAGTGCTTGCTGTGCCTAAGCCCTGTGCACGCCTATTTCTGGCTGTTTCTGCTTCCATGATGGAAGGTCGGGATGTCCCAGGCATGGAAAGGGAAAGAGGTGGATATGTCCTCAAGATGACGCTCTGGTTGGGAGCAGTGTGCGAGAGAATAATGGTTGTCCCCTTGTGGTGCCAAATCAGGCCAAGTTTGCATCACCCCTGCCACCACCCAGTCCCCACACAGCATGCCATCAATGCGAACAAGTTTTGCAAACAGAGTTTATTCACAAGCAACTGAGTGCGGAGGGCGAACCCTACATATCAAATCTGCCTCCTGTCAGGTCGGATTTGGGGATATCTATGGAGTAAGAAAGTAGGATGTTTTAGGTGCAAAGAAAGGTTTTTGGAGGTGAAGCAATCGGGGTCTGCACATGCGCAGTCAAATGTTTATCTCTCTTCACGGGACTAGTGTTACCAAAATGACAACACATGATTCCAAGGCGGAGTTTTCAGCCTTCTGCCATCAAAAGGTCACGCATCAAACAATTGTGCAAACCCAACTGAAAAGTCAATGGCTTTCCAAGTCCCTGTAAAATAACCTAATCTATGTTACCATCATGACCCACATGTCAGAGGTGTCAACTATAGCAAACCTGGTGAGAGATGAATAATATATTGCCCAGCTAGTGACTTCCAAAATTAGTGGTTTTTAAAGTCAACTAAAAGCAGGTGACACTAGAGGGTCAGTTTAGGTGTCCCCTTGGTTTCACTAGTTGGGATTTACCCAGGCTCTGACATATAAAGAATTTTTCCAGAGGAGAGGGGTGAAGTATGGTCCCACAACACCCCAATCCCCCCAATGACCCCAGGGCAGTTGTGTCACCATAGACACACATCCCAGATGTCTGCCACTCTTTACCCACACCTCTAGCCCACCCATTTTTTCACCCAAGGAATTCAGAGTCCTGAGATCAGCTCTCTCCACTCTGTTTGCAGAGCCTGTCTATAGACCTCCTGACCACACTGCCAAGCCGGTTCATGAATCCTTTTTTCACATTGTTTGGGGAGGAACCCATCCTGGCTCCTTCATTGGCCTGTGAATTCACCTCCCCTGGGCATGGTGCCAGGACCCAAGGAAAGAGCTGTTTCCTGTCCAGAACCTTCCAGCCAGACACGATGGTAACAATGGTACCTGTTCTGCTGTCTCTGCCGCTCCTTCTGGGTCATGCAGTCCCCCAGGAGACCCAAGCTGGTGAGTGGGGAAAGCAAGGGATAGGTGCTGGAGAAGAATGGTGGGAAGGCAAAGAACAAGACAGAATGGCAGGGAGAAGGACCCCCTGTGGCTGGGATTCCCAGGCACGTCATAGTCATGGGTGTTCAAGACCATCAACTAACTCAGCTCACACTTCTAGAAGCATTCAAGGGGCCTCTGGACTCCTGCTCATTAAGACTGTAAAGATTTTGAATCTAAAACCCAAGTAAAAAAACTAAGACATAGAAAAGGCAAAGTGACTTTCCTGGGATTAAATGGCAAAATGAGGCAGAAACACACACAGAGAGAGCTGCTTCTAATCTTGTTCCTTCCTTCCTTCCAGTGGATAGGCACACCTGCCTGACTCAAAGAGAGAGGAGAGAAAGAGAGAGACGGGGGCGGGGGGGGAGGGCTTCCCAGGGGCAAGCAAGAAGGCAGTTAGCTAAAGGAAACCCAGGTCCTCACCCAACCATGAGCTTAGAAGGCAAGGGGCTGGGATGGAGGACAGGTGGGGACACTCAGGGAAATCCAGAGTCAATGCTACAACAGGGAAGGAGGCTATTCATGGCATCAAGGGTCCAGGATGAAGAGAGATGAGCTATGGGCTTTTAACCTGTGCAAATTTAAAATTCCTTGCAGTCACAAATTGTCAAATAGTTTTTTTTATGTTTGTTTTATAACAATCATGTTTAGAATGTTAAGCACATTCTATACCAAAATCCAGATTAGTCAGAGAGACACAATAGGATGGAGGGATGGATGGGTAATAGATAAATGACAGATACATAGATCGATAGATAAATAGATTTTTTTAATGGGGGAAAGAATTTTATTTTAAAGAATGGGGTACACAGTTGTAGGGTCTGGCTTATCCTAAAATCTGCAGAACAGGCCAGCAGGTTGGGGACTCAGGAAAGAGTTAACATTGTAGTCTTGAATCCAAACATAGTCCAGAGACTAAATTCTTTCTTCTTTGGTGGGGAGGGAGGAGTTAGTCTTTTCTCTTGAGGCCTTCAACCAGTTGGATGAGACCTTCCCACATTATGGAGAATAATCTGCTTTACTCAGGGTCTACTGATGTACTTAGTCATCTTTTTCATTACTGTAATGAAACAGCAGAGGTGGTTAACTTTATAAAGAAAAATGATTTATTTTGGCTCATGGTTCTGGAGGTAGATGGTTCTAAGGGGCCTAATCTGAGAGTGACCTTCTTGCTGGCGGGGTCTGAGGCAACACAAAGCATCACATAGAAAAAGAAAAGGGAATACAGATTATGTCTAGTTTTTCCCTCTCTTCTTAACTTTCCATCCCTAACTCCCAAGAGTTCATGTCCTTCTCATATTGTAAAATATGTAATMATTCATCCCTAGAAGTCCCAAAGTCTTAACTCATCCAGCATTAATTCAAAATCCAAAGTCTCAACTGAGACTCAAGGCAAACTCCTTGAAGCTTTGAACCCATAAAATCAAAACAAGTTACTACTTATGATATACAATTATGGGGCAGACAGGGTATATATTCCCACTCCAAATGGGAGGGATAGGAGAGTAGAAAGGAGCTATTGGCCCAAAAGAAGACCAAACCCAGAAGGGCAGACATTAAATCCCAAGGTTCCAAGTCTAGCATCTTGTGCTATGACAGGTGAGTCCCCAAATCCTGGGCTGCCCTACCCCTCTCTGTTATATTCAACACCGTAGTGGTGCTTTCTACACCTGCAAGCTGATGTTGGTGGCTTTCCTGGGTAGACATGGCAGTCACTCTACTTTTCTGGGGTCTCCACTGAGGTTTCACCTCCACAACTGATTTAAATGTTAACCATGTTTATTATAAACTAATTAGGAATCTTCCATATGCCCCCAACATTATTAAAATCCACGTGAACTATCTCATGAACCAATTATGGAATTCATTATGGAAATGTCCCCCTCTTCCAGTTGCTGCCTGGTATCAAAATGCAGGTACATCCCTCAGAATTCTGAGACTGATTGAAGTCTTGCCCTGTACTGACCCATCCTGGGTCATTTCTTGGATTTTCTAGTAAATTCTCCTTCCCATATTTTCTAACTATATGTATTTGTCAGGTTACCATCAAGTTCAGTGCATATCAGGCCACTTTCCTCTCCTCCATAAGGTGACTCAGGGGTCCAGGCTGGTTGGTCTCCATAGTCATTGCCTAAAGGGAAGAGAGAAGGTGCAAACCAGCTCATAGGACCAAAAGAATGAGGTTACCTCATTTTTCTCTTTTGCCAGAACTCAGCCACATGGTCCCAATATACCCACAAGAAGGTTGAGAAATATTATCTCACATGCCAAGCAGAGGAACAATGTAGCGAAGACATATGAAAAGTCAGTCCCAGAATGAGAGCTGAGCTTGCTCAAACTTCCAGTAGTGTGAGGCTGACAGCAGGGCCGAGAGAGCTGGGAAGAGGCCTCAGGGACAGAGGCCTCAGGGACAGGTCTTCTCTTCTGGTGCACAGTAGGTCTCCCCATGCATGGACCCCACCCCTCTGAGTCTTCTCATCTTTTTCAGGTCCTTATTCTCTGATCTTTCTCTACACTGGGGTGTCCAGGCCTAGTAAAGGCCTCCCAAGGTTTCAGGCCACTGCCTTCCTCAATGACCAGGCCTTCTTCCACTACRATAGTGAGGGCAGGAAAGCAGAGCCCCTGGGACCATGGAGCCAAGTAGAAGGAATGGAGGACTGGGAGAAGGAGAGCCAACTTCAGAAGGCCCGGGAGGAAATCTTCCTGGTGACCCTGAAAGACATCATGGACTACCACAAGGACAGCAGAGGTCAGTGAAATGCAGACCATGGGGAGGGTCTTAGCTCAAGAGGCAGCCCTATAAGTGTGAGTGGAAAGGGGCCAACAGGTTGAAGATAGTCCCTCCCCCAAAGGTGGAGCAGGAGGCACAAATAGAAATACACAGACACATCTGGACCTAATGCCCCCTCCCATAGTGTCCTCCTTCCATATGGCCTCCCATCCTTGCTCCAGGCCTCAGCTCACACAGGAAGTGAGGTTCACCCCTGTTCAGGGATGTTGAGTGGATGGTGAGTAACCTTGGAGTCAGTCTGAGCTGAGTTCACGTGGTACATTCTTCTATCAGTCGCTGCTTAACAGTGAGCAAGCTTTTTAATTATCTGGAGAATTGASACCTGCCTCCATGAGGTTCTGGAAAACTTACCTACATCAATTCCATGAAGGAGGCAGCATGTGTTTTGCTCTCCCCTGCAGCCCCAGGGCCTAGGACGAGGTGCAGCCAATACTATTTGCTCAACTGAAGTATGTTAAATGAAGAGAGAGAAAATACTGAGCACAACAAACTCATGGTCCATACTGAAAGCTCAGAAAGTGCTGGGTTCAAAACCACAGACTGTTAGAGTTTCATGAATGTTGAGTTTCATGAATGTTGAGTTTCATGAGTTACGTGATAGGGTCAGGATAAAAACCACACAGTCTACCCACCAAGGCAACCAATCAGACTTGATAAACTGCAGATGTCAGATAATTATATAAGACAGGATATCAAGACTGGGCTTCTGAGTTTAAAAAAAAAATCTCCAAGAAGCCACCTGAAATCTGAAGGTTTTCAAAAGGAGGCAAGAGTTAAGTATAAATCTGAAGGATTTAGCATGGAAAGTCTTGGTAAGGAAAATGACCTGGGCTGGTGTGTCCCAAATAGGAGCAGGAAGGACACTGGAAGACTGTAATAGAAATGTTTAAGTAAGTAATTATAAGAAAAGAGAAAAATATGAGCACAATATTAGAAGGTGATGGTGGCTAACTTTTTATTGGGCACTTATTATGTGCCAGGCCCAGATATCAATACATCTCACTTTCAATAACCTCCTAAAATAGCACTGCTGTCATTGCCATTTCAGAGATATGAAAAGCATAGAGAGATAAGGCTCAATCTCATGAACAGGCCAGTGTGGTGAGGAGAGATCTGGGATTTGCACTCTCAGAGCTATTCAGACTGAACGTTCCCTAAGAAGGTCAGTTTCTGAGAGTCATTGTGCACAAAGGGGTTGAGGCTTTAAAAACTCAGAAAAAAAAGATGCCAACCACTGGAAAAGAGGGGAAAAGGGATCAAATTATGTTTTCTTATGTGGGCAGATGAACTCCACCTAGAACTGAGAGGAAAGGAGAGATCCAAAAGTTTTCTTCCTATTTGGTTGCAAAGTGTGCAGGAATGAGAGTCATTCAGCTGGATTTCATACCAGGCTGATTGGCTCCCTGTGGGTTTGGGGGAGGCTTCAGGGTCTCACACCTTTCAGGGAATGTTCGGCTGTGAGATCCAGAATAATAGAAGCAGTGGGGCGTTCTGGAGGTATGCCTATGATGGACAGGACTTCATTGAATTCAACAAAGAAATCCCAGCCTGGGTCCCCTTGGACCCAGCAGCCCTGAACACCAAGAAGAAGTGGGAAGCAGAAAAGGTCTATGTGCAGCGGGCCAAGGCATACCTGGAGCAGGAGTGCCCTGAGATACTGCAGAGGTACCTGAACCACAGCAGGACTCACCTGGACCAACAAGGTACTCGGAACTTCCTGGGACCTACTCCCAGTAATGAGCTGAGAAAGACCAAGATGATCTCAGGCTGGGAGCTCAGGGGGTCATCTCAGGCTGCTTCCATCCACCCCTGGGAATCCTTTGGTCCCCCACTTTTCACTTCCTAGAATTCATTTCTTCCCTGGGAAGAGAAGAGGTGAGATCCAAAACCAACATTTATCCAAATTTCAAGTTGGAGGAGCCAGGAAAACCACTGTCTTGATGGTAACCTTCTCTAAATAACCCCCTATTTCACAGATGAAGAAATTGGGGTTCCAAGAGGCTAAGTTAATACTAGCCATAACAGACAGAATCAGGTTTCAAAGTCCATATTTCAGAGTTCAAATCCCATGAACACTTTTTTCTACTCCTGATGCCTCTTGTTTGTGGAGAGATGTCCAGCTTGGAAGGACAAGCAAGTGTGAACAGAACTAAGTGCCACAAACTGAGGCTTTGATTGGAGAGGTAGGGAGAGAGAAGAGCRCAACAGAGCAGAGAGGAGTCTGATAGACAGAGACACAGGAAGAGCCAAGGAGCTGGGTCGAGACTAGAGAAGAAAGGAGCTACAAACCCCACTGAGATTTGGGCACACCAGGGAAACATATAGGGAATTCACAAATTGCTGCTATCATAAGTCAATACACAGTCGGGTGGGAAGAAGGGTAACAGAGTAGACATTCCATGACCCAACAGAGAGCCTCAATCTTCCCTGATCTTCTTAAAGATTTCTTAGGGGAGGTGGGCGCACAGCTTATAGCACATCTGAGGGTTTGGGGATGGAAGGGACATGACAAGGGAAGTCTACCTCAAGCCCTCAGTGTCCATCTCCTGTCCCTCCACAGATCCTCCCTCTGTGTCAGTCACCAGCCATGTGGCCCCGGGAAGAAACAGAACACTCAAATGCCTGGCTTATGACTTCTACCCACAAAGAATCGGTTTGCGCTGGACTCGGGCCGGCAAGGTGCAGGAAATTAAAGCAGGGGGAGAGATTCTTCCCAGTGGAAATGGTACTTACCAGTCCTGGGTGGTGGTGGGAGTCCCCCCTGAGGACAGAGCCCCTTACCTCTGCCTTGTGGAGCACAGTGGGCTGGCCCAGCCCCTCACAGTGCCATGGAATGGAAGGCAGAAAGCCAGGGCTGAAGGTAAATTGGGGACTCCTCAGTAGTCACATAAGAGAGTTGAACTTTAGAAATCATCATCAATGTCACCAACAAGGTCCCAGGAAAACAGTGCAAAAGGCAGTGCAAATCCAGATAGTGGATTTGGAGACAGGAGACTTGCCACTGAGCTCACTCTGACTGTTCACCTCCTAAACTCTCCATGGTCCAGTCTTTAAAACCTCACCCACAATACTCCCCTTGCCTGGCCCAGCAGAGAAAGATGTTTTCAAACTGTAAACTGGCTATAAAAATGTGAGTTGACKGAATCATTCATTCTGCCCCTCCCCCAAGCATTTGATTCATCTGAAATTCTTGGTACCCAACTGAAATAATGATTCACCCTTGGGCATATGGACCTTGGGATGTCTCCAGCATGGCTTAGACCACCCAGTCCTGTGGACCTTGTTCTAGCATCCACTGCTGACATCCACAGATGAGGCCATGACCTCATTGGCTGTCAAGCCTTGAAATCTGTAAAACCCAACACTTCTGTACCTGTTTTCCTTGCACCCTGTGAGACATGGTCCTCCACTTCAGCAACAAAACCTTTTCCATATACGTTGGCCCTGAACCACACGCAGCCAGAGCTTATTTAAGAGGCTTACCCTCTCCAGGTGCACTCCCAAGGAAGCAGGAATCAGCCTTAATGTTCTTGGACTCCCTCCAAGTCCATCTGAGTGTGTTTTTTCAATTGAGTCACCTCTGCCATCCACAGGATTAATGCCCAAGGGTAGAGCAGAACCCTCACAGCTGACCTTTCTACTAAGCCTTACCTACCATGGTTGTATTCTTCTTTCCTACATGGAAAGAACTAACTCTCTTTATAACATGCCCTCAGTCTCCCACTCCGGATTACTCCAAATTCAGTCCTCCCAGCTATAAAGTAGTCAGAATCGGCCTTCCAAATTCTGAGTCAAGAGCCTTCTCTTTCTTGAAAGTCTGAATTTAAAGATTACATTTCCGGTTTTGTTTTTGTTTTTGTTTTAATACTTTGGGTTCAATTTGAATATCAAAAACTGAGAAATTGGGCTGGGGATATAGCTCAGCTGGTAGAGTGCTTGCCTCCCATGCACAGACCCTGGGTTCAATCCCCAGCATGGCCAAAAAAAAAAAAAAAAAAAAAAACCCTGAGAAATTATTTCCTTAGTCTACAAGAAACCAGAGGAAAGAAAGAGCCCCATTTGAACAGTAGAGAGTTGCATGGAAGAAAATCAAAATAGAGAGAAAAATACAGCCATTGATCCTTCAAAATATGATAAGACTTTGTACAAATAAAAAGTAATAGGATAAACATTGTGAATCAAAGAGGAAACCAAAATCAACATAAGTAGGATGGGCTAAGGAAGACTGGAATGTAGGATCTGGTCCAACCTATGACAGGAAGAGATGAAGGGGAGGACAAGGAGAAGGAAGCCTCAATAAACAAGTCTTGGCCAAGCATCCAGGTGGAGGGGGAGARGGACCCAGAGACATTCAGAAACTCAGGGAAAACTTCCTAGAGGGAGTCAGATTTCAGAGGTATCAAAAGAATGCTCCTAACCAGTTGGATATGAGACTGCTGAGAGGGGAGGGTCACAGGGCCTGCCAAGGAAAATGTCCTGGGAGCAGTCCATGGGCATGGACTGGGCACACCAAGAGGAGACAGGAGTCCTGGAAACCAAACACGGGTCACTGTGTGCCCACTTGTCATGATGGGCAACGGGTGCGACTTATGCAGTCCAGGAGGAAAAATAATTTCCACATGCTTCTCCTCTAGTCAATGTTTTATTCACTGAAATCGCTCAATACAATTTCACTCTATAGGTTCTTAATCAAGAAACTGACAACCCTTAATGCTAGGCACTGTGATAGAATCAATTCACAGCGAACAATTCTAGATTAATTCTAAGCACTGCCAACACACTTAAGCAGCACATAAACGTAAAATAAAGATATTGTGTCCACCTAAAAAACTAAAAAATAAGTATTTTTTTTWAAATGTCAAATTGAACATCTCAAGCCTTAGGCTCTGAGTCCAGCAGATGCACACTCAGACCACAGTGATCAGATTAGAAACCCAGGCAGGCTTCTCCTGGGGTGGAGCTGATGTTAAGGAGAGGGTGGTAGGGAGAAGTTGCAGCTCTCACCAGGGTCAAGATGTGGCTGTAGAGTTTGAGAGATGTGAGGAAGACGCAGAGGATCAGGCAAACGATGAGAAGAGTTGGGATGTCAGTCCTGGTCCTCATCAGGCTCTCCAGCGTGAGAGCATCAGTGTCGGCTGGCTAATGTCAATTCATTTGCTCTATTACTTATACCAAATTCGGGGGGTTTTGAGACACACACACACACACACACACACACACACACACACACACCGTGCCTTTCAATCCTTATCAGCTGCCACCAGATTTCTCAGTGACATCATTTACTCTGGTCTGATGGTCCCCACCCTGATCTTTTCACCTCTCTCTCTTATCAGGTACTTTTCCCTCTTATCACAGCCTGCCAGAGGCTTCACTATGAGTTTATCAGAGTGGGGAGAAGTGACTTGTTTGTGCCCGAGGGCCATACTGSAGGGCTCCATTAGGCACACCTGGTGAGACTGCAGGTTTCAAACTGGAGTTTTTAAAATGGAGTTGMTTAGGTTCAGGCCTAAGGCCATCCTCACACCACTCAACAAACATCTCATTGTTTCCACCAACCTTTTTAAGGAGATGTGTGGCCCAATTTCCTTTCTAAAGGAAGATGATTTAAAATTAATTTCTTTTGAAAATTCAGCAATTGCCCTTGATGTAACTGATTTCATCCTGAATATAAAACTAGCCATAAAATAAGAGCTCAGAATCACTGGTCTTTGGACAGAGTGGGTAAAAGGACTAGAATTCCCACTGGGTACACCCGAAGCCACCCCCAAGTGTAAAACCGCTCGCAAAGCTCACTGTGCCAGTAGAATTTTCTCATAAATGATTTGGTGTTTATTAATAAGATTACACATTCACACAGAGGGAATAAACTGTTCCCACAAGAATATGTTCTAGGAAAAGCACTGGTTCACGGCAAATCTGTGTCAACAAGCCCCTTATAGTAGAGCAAAGTTTTGAACCCAAATACAGAAGAAGAGACTCTAGCACTTCATTGAGAAAAAAATGGACTCATCAAACTAAACACCCCCATTCCCATCACTGAAACCAAGTCCCAATGGTATAGGAAGATCCCAAWGGTATATCTTCTCTTCCCTGCACTTATTTCACCAGGGGAAATGTCTTTCCTCCTACAGAAGAACTATCCTTCCCCRTGTGCTCTGGACCTCATCCTCTTTCTCCTACTCAAGGACCTTATTGACCTGGTTCTCCTGTCTCTCTCCAACATTGCTAGAATATAACCATGKTATAGTCTCTCCCCTTTTAAATAAAGCAAAACTTCCCATAGCAGCACCTTCCCTCCAGTTTTCCCTCCATTTCTTTTTTTGCTTCACAGAAAAATTCATCAAAAAAGCTGACCATGCCCACTGCCTCCATGTCATCACTTCCCATCCATTCTCCAACCACACCAGTAAAGCAATCATTATTTCCACTAAAATTGCTCTTTCAGCATGTCTGTAATCTCAGCTATTCAGGAGTGTGAGGCAGGAGGATCCCTTGAGCCCAGGAATTTGGGATCAGCCTGTACAACATAAAGAGACTCCATGTCCTTTTCCCCCCATTATTTTAATTGGTGCATGACAGTTTTCCAAGATGGTGGAATTTGTTGTTACATATTCATACATACATACTATATTAAAATCTAATTTGGCCAATATGATTCCCAAGTATTTCCCTTTTCTCTCTCAGAGAGACTCCATGTCTTAAAAATATAGAGAGAAATTGTCCTTTCCAAGGTCACCTAGGCACTCCATACTCTCACTGCCAAAGTCATTTACCCATTTCTACTCTAATCTTGTTCAAGCTCTTTGCAGCATCTCACAGTTGGACCCCTCCTTTCTTCTTCTTTTCATAGATTCAATAAGTATTTAGTGAGTATTTATCATGTGCCTCATCTCTGTTCTAGTAATATGACAGCGAATGAGACTTAACATGTCCCTGATTTCATGGAATTTATATTCAAGAGGAGAGGTCCTGGCCATCAGTATGCAAGCCAATAAATAAAATGCTATGGAAACATAAAACTAGGTGGCAAGGCAAAAGGTGATTGGGAATGGAGGGAGGAAGTGGCCTTTCTAAGGAGATGATATTGAATTCAATCTAAGAGATGAACAGGAAGAAGTCATGGGAAGATCTGGGGTGAGCATCCTGGGCAGAGAGCACAGCAAATGTCAAGGCCCCAGGATAGAAAAAATCTTGGAGTGTTTGAGAAACACTGTAGAGACCAGTCAGGCTGGAACATCATGAACAAGAGGAGAGCAATCAGAGATGGTTCTGAAAGGGCCAGCAGAAGCCAGATCATGCAGGGCCTTGTAGGTCTTGGTAAGGAATTCAAATTATTAAGCCTCTGAAATAGGRAGTGTTGGTTTTGGTAACAGGTTGGCCTTTCCTGGGTAATGTATGGACCTTCTCCCTGCTTCTGTATATACCCTCTCCTAGGATTTTCATCCATTCTCATGAATTTAAAACCCATCAATCTGCTGAAGAATCCCAAATTTAGATCTTCAGTCCACACTTCTCCTGGGAACCAGAACTAATTTCTCAGCTCTCTTTTTCCTTACCCACCATGCTCACTCCATCAGGAGTCCCATCCAATCTACTTCCACCATCATCCCTGTCCTCGCTGGGGAGAGTGGTGACAGAGGATGGGAGAGCAGTGTCTGAGATTGGGGTCTCGGATGACCTCATGGCTGTGGCAAGCCTAGCGCCTGGGAATGTTCCTATGCAAGGATGCAGGATGCCTAGCTGCTGTGGAAATGCCCTTCATGAGGAGGCTCTGAGGCAGAGTCTTATCAATCTGGACCTTGATCTCAGGCACATAGTTCCTGGGAATAGAGGAACTCTCCTGTTAGGCAACCACAAAGTTTCACCAGCTCCACTATTTCCAAAGCTGCTGCTTAACGGTAACTTTAAACAATGGACTTTCTCGAGAGCTACACAAAGCTCCTAACATTACACATTGCTACTGTAAAATACAACTGTGGAAAAGCTACATAAATGTTTCTAGCCCTCTAATTTTCTGAGTATGAAAAATAATGCCTGCATAGTCTTTAACCTGATAATGAGACACATATAAATAAAGATTGCTGGAGTAACTCTTTAGATCTGCTTCTCCATCAGCACTCCACCTGATCCC